AAAATATATAGTTATGATCATAAATCTTTGTATACAATTGTGTCACTGTCCTTATGGAGTATACCTAGCTAATACTTTATTTTTTTACCTTGATGCTGAACTTACACTGATCATTATTCCAATCTTTTCCATGAACCTGAGAAGCAAAACTGAACCATGGTCATCTATCTCATGCTGATGGCAATGAAGACTGGGTTTTAACCATATTCGCGGCGCTATCCCTTGTAAGTGATATGTATACTAGTGGCCATTTTACTTGGTTTTATTTTAATTGTTATAATTCTGAATTTAGCGTTTATCAGAGGTCATTTCTGTTGACCAACAGCAAATTCAACCTTTTATTTTACTACTCATGCAAAAATTATGACGAAATTTAACTGCGGATATTGCCCTATTTATTCTTTTTCTTAATTATATTTCCCCTTGTAATTCTGTTCTCTTCCTATTCTGATGAAGACTTTCAATTGGTTGTTTGTTGGTTTATTTTAAGCTGCAATATATGCCCTACTTTTCATAATTTAATTTTTTTAATTATCATTAACCTTTTCTAATACATAGATCCAAGGCATTTCTTTTCATTATTTCTCCTGCAGATAGTTGATGTTCTGAAGATTTTACCTTCACATGTGGCGGTATGTTCCATTTCTTTTCAAACATTTGATGCATTTTTGTATTATTGTATAAAAGTTCGAGTTTAGCCACACTCTGTATCTTTCTCTTACATTTTCCAACATGGGTCTAATAAGTGCTCTTTCTAATACAGTTGGTGTTTGACCATGACGGTGAGATATGAAATTCAATAATATTTTTTATTTTATTTTATGCTCTGTTTTGAATAATGGAAATTTATTGTAGCTTTAATTCTCCAAAAACCCTACTTTTTGTTACTAGGTTCTGTTTACGTGCTGTTTTGATTGTTTTATGGTTCTGTAGTTTTAAAAGGTAATTTTAACCTCTCCTATTATCGAATGTGCACTTGAATGATGAATGCATTTGTCCAATTCTGAGTTGATCGGCAGTTTTCATACTCTACTAATCCTATTGTAAGTTTATGTTTATGGTTTGGTTTTGGAGACCAACCTGAACCAAATCAACATAATTTGATTAATGAAATTGCAACAATATGGATGAACCAAACTAACAACACTAGAAAGCCTTACTTTATGAATGCCAGTTAAGTAGGTTTCCAATTCCTCCTGTTTTCGTGAAAAAATCAAAATTATAGTCATGTGGACCAGTGCACACCCTTATAAAGTTACATGTATGCTATTTTTCTGTATGTTGGTTAGTTTCTCTAAAATTTGAAACCGAAAAAGAGTCTAAGCCAATGGATAGTAGCATTGTAGTGTTGCAGGAATATTTGAGGTGGTTCCAAAAGATTTTGACCAAAGAGTGCAATTTACCCTTTTTCTCTTTTTTTTCAAAAACTGCCCTTCTTATTCGCTGGTCCCCTTGTCTGCCTGAGACTACTGTTTGTACATTTTCCCAGAGTTTTGGCCACAATGTTTTCTGAATGTTAAATCTTGATTATTTAGGTGTGGAGCAATGGCCTAGGCTGTTTCATACCTTGTTTCTATCTCTTCAAACCTCTCTCTTTCTCTGATCAAGACTTTAATAGCTACCTCCCCTTTCCCTCATTATTCTTTCTTTCCATTAAAACAGACATTGTATTAGAAGAAAAAAGAAAAATGAATTGGTGGTTTTTGTGCTTACATGCTTGTTGTCTATTGATGTGCCCCAAAACTTTTTAAAAACAAATGTTATCCCTAGTAGAATTTAAGTAGTTGTGATTATTTATATGAACATCGTGTCATCTTAATTCCTTAATCATGTCTTTGACATGGAAGAGCAAGATTTTCATGGGGACCACAAGGATTGAGGAGATCACCAAAACAAATTCGTGGAAAGCTGATGCAAAATTTTCCTTGATGTGAGGATATTGTTCAGTAGGATGAATATTGTAAGAAGTTGTTTGGCAATGACATGGAAACTGGGTTTTGGTTCTTATTCTTTAGAAATTTTTAGAATGTTTGAACCATCATAGTGGAAGGATGAAACCTGATGGCTTTTAACTCGAAGTTAAAACCAAATTTCCTTTTGCAAAGGAAACCTGCTTATTTGCACCTCAATTTGTCATTTATTCAATGCTAGTGGTAGCTTAACTAAAGTTGAGTAAACATAATAAATTCTGGTTGAGCTTTAGTAACCTTTTCCGCTGCCCTGGATGGCCAGAGTGATATTTAATTCTAGTTGAAACTTTAGTTGGATGCTATGTCAGTTTTTTTTCTGGGATGCCTCACCCTTTAGATGCTGTGCCTGATCATCTGATCTGATGACCCTTTTCATAGTTAGCAGGGTGAGGTTCTTTGGTACGTGAAGCTTCTTTTTTAAACCAACTTTTAATTAGGAAAAAAAAAAAAAAAGGCTTCTTCTTTTCAGGAACTCCATTTGGTCATACTTCTATTCCTTCAAAAGAAAATTTCAGAGCAAAAGGTGTGGTCTTTTTGAATATTCTTTTGTATGGTGAAGTTGCTATAGCGGGCTGGTCTCTGAGGAAAAGAGAGATCATGCCAATACTTTTAATTGCACTGTTACGAGTTGGTAAAGCTAGGGAATTATGTGACCTGTTCTGGGTTTATATAGTATAATATATAGAAAGAATGAAATTGCATAAAATGCTTTTTCTACTAGAAGTGCTTTTGAGACCTAAAACCACTATTAGATAAATTGAAATGATATAAAAGATGGCATCTTATCATTCCTAGTCTGCTTAGTTAGAGGTGTAAATATACTTGACTCTTGAAGTTTTGCCAATTTAGAGCAACCATAGAAATCGGCCTGGATTTCTATTAAACTTTTTGTGATTTTTGGATGCTGTTTGATAAGTAGATGCTTTCACATTGGCCACACAATTTTATGTGAAATTTCACTAAAATTTTCATTTTTGTCTTAATAACATTGAAGCTTCTGACTGTGCTGCAAAACATTTATGGTATTCATTACTTCTTTTAATGTAATGCAAAGTAATTTGCATGTTTAGATGCTATTGCATCGAGGCTTCTAATCATTAACTGGATTGTTAGCAGTTTGCATTTAGATATCCATTAAACCAGATATTTTTGGCCTTCAAACAATATCCTCTAAACAAGATTACCAATGGCCTTTTGTGCAATAGTCTATCTTGCCTGCATTTCTATCTGCTGCTGTCGCAATTTGTTTATTTAGCCTCTTTGTTTAATGTAGTGGGGAGTAAAAGAAAAAATGAAATATAAGCAAGAAGCAAATGCAGAATGTAAGTAAATACCAGGTTTGGACTTCTGGTGCATTTCAAACTGATCAAAGTATCTGCTTTTTTGTCAGTATGCATGACTTTTCATTATAAAAGGCTAAATGTATCCTTCAGCATTCCTTTTCACATTGACTGGTTGTTCATATTTGGAATTAATATGACTATCAAATGCATACATTTGAAGGAACTAATTTCCATCACACTCTACCCATCATACTAGAGCAACCGCCTTCCTACACTGATACTGTAGTGCAAGGTCTTCAATATTTGAAGGCAGCCAACAAAGCTATGTCCATTAATGTGATTGAGGTAATAGCCATATATCAGAAATGTCTATGATGAGGATTCTGGTGTTAGATATTAATTAGAATTTACTCAAAGGCAGGTACCAGGAATAGAAGCAGATGATGTCAATGGAACATTGGCTATAAGGACTGTTGAGGCTGGTTTCAAGGTAACAATTATAAAACAGATGTCACTTTTTAAAGCAGGTTTGGTAGGTTGTTCAAAGAAGGGCCTTTCAAAATGAAAATTAGCTGCTTACTTTGGTTTGTATGACAGGTTCTTCCCCCTAAAAAGAGCCAAAATGAGAAAACAAGAAACTTGTTTCAAATAATCTGTTCAATCTTCTAGAAAAGCTGTTATTATGTGGAATTATGTTCAGGGATTGGCATTTCAAAAATTTCTCAATTTGTTCTCTGTTTCTGTTTCCGGATTGATGTGTGCTTCAATTTGGAAAGGCCACAGTGAAGCTTTTAGGGTACAGTCCCTTCATTTTTGTTAACATGTAACCATAAGCTGACTTTACATTTTCAATTTTGATTTTGGTCGTAGGCTGGGAGCAGATCATTTAAATTTATCCCGTGCCATTTTGAGGGACCAATCCAAACACCACCGTCGGGCTAAGGGCCTAATGTCCAACTTAAGGATAAACAGCCGATTGGAATAACTCCATCTCTCCTAATCCACCTTCGCTCCTAACAGATGACATCCATTGACCTCCACGGAGCTGCAATACATCATAGCGCTACAAGACTGACATAAAGGGGATTTGTCACATGGAAAGCAACTTTGGAGGGTTATAAATACTCCCTCAACCACAGTAGATTTTATTACACCTTTGGTTTTCATGGTATAAGAACCCACTTTCACTAAAATCCTCTATGTACTGAGTTGAACATCAGAGTATCTACCCTGAGAACCAGCCTCGAGTCTTGCAAGTATTTTGATCAAAGTCATGGTCATCATAGCCATGTTATGCCGTTCTTCACTTGAGCTATTTTGTGCAACAACAGCAATGCAACCCAATAAGAAAATCTAGGATGATTGTCTATCCTCCATGCATGCAAATAATGTATCCTGCTTAGTATACTTAGGAAAGGAATTGTATTATTCTTTCTCCTAATTAGTTAATCTTGATATTCATGGGTACAAAGTTAATCATGTTTTTATTTCTTTAACAGGAGCGTGCTGTTTCCCCTGACAAAGACTTCTTTCAAATTCTATCTCCCTCATTGCATCTTCTAAGTGTTGCACCACGAGGAATTGAGTTAGTATACATCAAATATTGCCCTTTCATTCTTATACGTTTTTACTATTGATATCTATTAAAATTAAAGCAAATCATGACTATGATGTAAACCATTCTACTGTAAGAATTCTCTTTGATTTGTAAAAATTAACCAAAAAATAATTTAAAATGCCCATCTAAATTAAACTGCAAGCATTTTGTTTGTTTGCATACCATGGTGGTTTGCATACCATGACAGAGTGCCGGAGCAAGGTTGGAATTCAGGATCACCTTTTTACACTAATTTTGATGCATAAGAAGATTTTCATGCCTAGTGTGATTAATAATACCAATTAATCCAATATTGGGATCAGTGGACATCAATGCATTGGCATGAAACTGCAGATTGTCTTAAGTATTTTTTCTTTTTTCTCTTTTTTTTTGGCTGAAACAGATTGTCTATGTTCAATTTCTTTCTATGGTTAATGAGAATAATTTATTTATCCTTTTTACACTGGATTTAACAATGCTTTTCAAATTAGATCTTACTACAACATGTAAGAATCTAAAATTCAATTTGACAGTCTTTGTCTGGTAGGGTGGTAAATAACAAGATTCAAAACCATGGGCTTTTAAAGTTTCCATTTCACCTTGGATAGCAATGTTCTTTTTGTAGGCATTTACATTTATTTTCTTTCCCCCAGGATGGTTTCATTTGGAATGTTGGAATTTGCTGAAAGATATGGAGATCTGAAACCATCTCAGTTTATTGATGTCGTGGCTCTTATGGGCGATAGTGCTGATAATATTCCAGGTTATTTGTTAATCACAGTTCCAAGGACCACATAAGAAACGGAATAATAAGTGCATCTCCTTCTGTCTTCTACATTCCTTTATCATGGTGCCAATTGACGAAACTGTTTAGTATCTAGGAACATTACATTTTACTTGTTCTTTATGATATCAAACCCTAGCTTCTATTTTCCCCTCTACAAGTATATATATATATATATATATATATATTGTCTACTCTTTATAAATTATTTAAGCTATTTTGCAATTGTCAACTGCATTGGTATGTGTCTCTACACTTCTGGGATCCATTAGAGAAGTTACTTGGAAGTTAAGATGTCTCATAACTTGTTTTGAGCTCAAATATGTCTCAAGTGATTGACTAATTAAATATAGTTTCTAAATGCAGGTGTTGATGGTATTGAAAACGTTCATGCTGTGGACTTGATTACTAAATTTGGTATGCCTATACGTCATGTCTCATATTCTATTTCAAAGGAGTGAACTGAGTACCCCTTCCATCTGGTTACTGTTCTCTTCCCAGTTTATATATTGTATTGATGCTTAATCTTTTCTTTTATGTGCAGGTACATTAGAGAATTTATTACAGTGTGTTGATCAAGTTGAATCCGAACATATCAGAAAGGTTGTGCTGATCATTTACAAACTTTACTAGTGTTCTAATGGATGTGTGCAGAATGCTAGTAAAGTTTTGTTGACGTTTGCATTCAGTTGTTAGTTAGGCAAACTAGGCCATAGAACAGAGCTCATTCAATCCAATATGGTTTAAATCAATTCTCTTTGTCATTAACATAAAACTTGGTTGAAGATTCGAGTTGGATATAGATTAAAGTCCATCTTGACAAATAGAGAACCATTTCACTAGGTTATTTTTTTTTTTTTTTATGGTACATTGGATAATAATAGACTATATAAAAAGAGATAATCATTCCCTTCCCTTGAATTTCTTCTCAACTGACTCAAAATTTGAATTTGATATTTCTAGAAGTCTCAAACTCTTGACTATTAAATTAAATCACTCCTTTTGAGGTTTTTAGTAGGCTTTGTATCAAGTTTTGTGGTCGTGTGCTTATGTATTTATGTTCATTTTCTCAGGCCTTGATAGCACAAGCAGATCAGGCCATGTTAAGCAAGAACCTGGTAATCTTGTCATCAATGCCCCTGTTCTCTATATTCATTATGATCTTAGAACTCTATTCTGATATCTGAAATCTATGTGTTATGGCAGGCAATGCTGCGTTTTGACCTTCCATTCTCTATGGTACCGTTTAATACTAGACAACTCACGTTCAAGAAATCAGAGGCTTGTGCAGTGTGGTGGTTTATTAGAACCGATTGTTGAAATGTTCGTATACGGTAAGCGTACTAAAATGGATAATCATGCTTTTTGTGCAGGACAATCGGCAGAAATTTACGAGTCTCTTGACTGCCATCAGTGCCTATGCAGAAGGGTTCTCAGCTGGTAAAATAATTCGAAGAGCTGTCAGTTTCTATATATTCTGGATTCAAAATCAATGATTAAGAGATAACATGCATTTTGTGTATAAAAGACTTTGCTATCGGCTGATTTTGAAACTGGGTACAGAAGTGTATAACAATCTATACATCCATTAAATATAAATTTGTCCATTCATGTTCACGACTCTCTGGAGTGTTTTTTCATTTGCCCATGGTTGCCAACATCTTCAACGGTCTAATAATAATCACATTCAACTAGAAATAAAAAAATATTAAACCACAATCATGTGCATACCAAACAGTTAAATTAATAATATGCCTAGTTTGAGAGACACATGAGAAGACAGAGAGAAACAAAAGGAATTAAGGAGTAAAAAAATCAAGCAAAAGGCTACCCTCGAACTAAACAAATTCTAAACTAATAAAAAAATTACTTTCTATTGCACTACTCGTAGAAAAAAAAAAAAAAAAGGTCAAATATAGTCGAATATTAATGAAGTAGATGTTTGATCAAATGCGTATTTGCGGATTAAGGGTATTAACATTCCAGCATATGCTTCAACTGATGTCTAAACTAGGCCAAAAAAGCTTAAAAGTGCTCTACTCCTTAACATGAAAGCAAATTTAGGATCTGTGAAGAAAAAACAGATTGAAATGTCAGCTACATATCGAGTAAATTCATGTATTTCTGAAATTAACCCAACATGAAGGAGTTACGATCAAAACTCTAAGATCCAATAATGATAGAGTTAAAAATGCTGATCCCATAAATCCATAGTTTATAGCAGTGTTCAATAGAACCCAGGCTTTGGCGTCTCCTGAACTTCCTACAGTGCTGGAGCTGGCGCTGCCAAACACAAATTAAGTACCAACTGTTAGGCTACAGGCTACTGGTACAATAGTGGAGTGGACAAATGAATTTGGAATCTTGAAAACAACATAAGGGAGAGATGGTAAACAGTTGATAGAAAACAAGAAAAAGAATCGTTAAAAATGGGCTTTCAATAAGACTACCTTTTGCAGAGGGTTCTTCTTGAGGTTTCATTGCTGGGAATAGCAGAACCTCCTGCACAGCAATGGCATAAACAGTAAGTGACATATTGGTTGTGCCAAGATTAAAACAAAGAAATCTTGTATGTGCTTGCGCACACATATGGATGCACATGCACTCAGTTTCACACAAACATAGGCAAGAGGGAGAGACAGAGAACCTTGATATTTTGTGAATCTGTCAACATCATAGTTAGTCGATCAATACCCAAGCCCCAACCACCAGTGGGAGGCAAGCCATACTCAAGGGAAGTACAGAATGTTTCGTCCAGAGCCATGGCTTCATCATCACCTGATTGTCGATCCTGAGACATCCAAAACACCTCTTTTAGCCAATCCTATATTGATATGTTTAATTGTATCACTACTAAACACTTGAAACTAATTTCCAGTACCTTCAGTTGCTCAGCAAAGCGTTGACGTTGTACAACAGGATCATTCAATTCAGTGTATGCATTGCAGAGCTGGCCAATTAGGAAACAATTAAGCCAAACATCAGTTCACAAGAAGTTAAAAAAAAGGTGGAAGAAAACAATATTCCTAGAGTTGAATAAGCATACTTCATGCTTGTTAACAAACAATTCAAAACGTTCAGTTAGCCCTGGCTTTGATCTGTGCCACTTTGCTAGAGGACTCATTATTTCAGGATGGTTGATGATGAAAGTGGGATTTACACACGTCTCCTCCAGAAAATGACCCACAAGCTGTCAGTCACAAATAAGAAGGTGAATAAATCTTAAACGGCTAAGGTAAAACATTTGGCTGCATAAGTTTTCAACAGAAATGAATATCTATCCAATAGCTCAAAATACAATTCTTTATACAGCTACTTCCACTGTATATCTAAAACAGAAAAACATGATTCATCATGTTAACTCCCAACCACCAGAGAACCCAAATTACACCCCACTCTCCCTGTTGTCCCCAGTCCACAAAACAGTCTCCAGTCTTTTGCTTTTGCTGATGTCTTAGGGCCCTCGTCTATAAGTTAGACTCCCATCATACTCACTGATATAGAAACTCAAACACTCAACCACAGGCCTCCCCCTGAGACATTACATAGCACATACTTATAGATCATCTAAGCTTAACATCAGTAAAAAAGACGAGGGCCAGCATGTCAACAATTTCACAAGGAAACCAGAAAGACAGAAGATTTACTTTGTCTAGTAAACGTGCTGTGGTTTGAGGAGGGGGACACTTGATGTCAAACCTCAAACATGCATCTGCCAAAAACTTGTTTGTTTCATCACTAGAAAAGTCCTTAGGTATATGGAGGTTAGCCATCTTCTCCAACTCCTCTATCATGTCAATCCTCCTGCACAATTAGGCAGTAAATTTATTACACATTTACTCTGATTAATGATATTGATAATGCATTGTGAGAGAATATTATCCATGAACCTAAAAGGGGGAGTGAAATCAATCTCAATTGGCTCCTTATCAAGCCCATTTGCATGATATTTGATTTTATAGGCACCAGTAAGTTCCTTGACCATCCCTGTTGCATGCTAACTGAGTCAGAAAAAAAGGTACGATGCAATAATGGAAGTGCATATCTTGCAAAACTGAAACGTGCTTGATACGTACCACTTAACATTTTCTCAGTGAGTTCCATCAGATCATTATAGTCCGCAAAAGCCATGTAGAATTCACAAGTTGTAAACTCAGGATTGTGGGTTAAATCAATACCCTCATTTCTAAATTGTTTTCCTATTTCATAAACACGATCCAGTCCACCAACTACTAACTCTTTGAGATAGAGTTCAGGTGCAATGCGCATGTACAGCCTCATATTCAGTTCATTGTGATGGGTCACAAATGGGCGTGCAGCTGCTCCACCAGCAATCATGTTCATCATGGGTGTTTCAACCTGAGAATATTACTTTTCATAAATGACACCAAAAAGGGCAAAATTACATTGAAAAAAAAAAAAGAAATAATCTAATGATAAAATAGATTAACCACCTCTAGAAAACCAAGGTTGTCAAGAAAGCTTCTAACATAGGAAATGATCCTAGCTCTGGTCTTGAATATTTGACAAACCTCCAAATTTAACATCAAATCAAGGTAACGTTGCCGATATCGCGTTTCCTAGCATGAATCAGACATAAGGCTTATAAAAGTGACACCACACCGGCAAACATCTTCATGCATAAATAAGTAGCTGGAAATTAATAGAATTCTGCATTGCCAGAAGAATTCTCATCTTCAGGGCATGAACTAATACCTGATCTTTCAAAACATATGCTTCAGGGTTCCTCTTCATTCCTGGGATCCATATTTCAGTTTTCTGCAAGGGGGTAGGAATGAATCAATGCATTGAGAAAAGTTCACAACAATTAGGCAGTCATAACAAACTTTCATTACCTTCACATTGGCATCAGGACCTGCTTTTTGCCTTGGCATCATGTGAAGACAATGAGACAATACAATGAACGATTTTGGGAAGATGCTCAGCTCCCCTCTCTTTGTTTTCCCTGAGAGAAGCACATGACAGAACTTACGTGAAATAACAAAATAATTTAGCAGAACAATGGAAATAGATTCTAGGACATTGTTCCAACTGGGATGAAAGACAATCCAGCAAAGAAAATGGACAAGAAAGGAAGCTCTTTCAGATTCTACATTGGGTAAACAAATTTTGGTTTTAAAAGGAACACAATTTTTACACTATAAGCCATTTATGTCATATTTCCTCTAACATATCAAGGATGAAATGTCTTAAGTGAACAGGGAAAAGACAGAAGAAAACCGACAAACAATCATAACATTCCCAACCTGGAAATCCAGTGATGCCAACTATATCACCACGCTTCACAGCGGAATGGAATATGGAAAATTCAGCTTCATCCATGCCTGACTTGCTGCAGTTATGTAAGTTAAAAATCTATCAGACTTTTTGAACGGAAAGTGAGGAGATGGGTGAAGAAACCGAAGGGCAGAAGAAGGGAAAGGCATGTAACAATCATTCTGCATGTCTATTTGAATGATGAAAGGTATTTAATTTCTATTTCAAAGCGTAGTAAAATGCAGAAAAGATAATGCTTTAACGAAAGAAATCCCTTGAATTCCTCATAGACTCTCAACCCAATCCTGCTCCCACCTCCCATCAAGAAGAAGAAGCAAACACTAACGAGTTCTAAGTAAGAAAATGAATAGATAACATACCTAGCATCGGCCATAACTTGAACTTTTGCACCACCACCAAGCAAATCATAAAAGAACAGCTTCGAACTGGATGCTCGTTTGCTCATGATTCGACCTAGCATAAAAGAAAAGTGACAGATTTTTAACAAAAAAGGACAAATGAACATAATATAATGGATAACATAAAAAATGACTGAGGAGTGCCCTAACCCTGACTCAGATACCTGCCAAAGCTTCAGTGACATCCTCCAGGTGCTCCCCATTGCCTAAGCCTCCATACTTCTCTACATATTCAACAATAGATAAGGATACAAAGAACTTATGGGGATATGGGTTTTTCCCCTCTGCCTTCTGAGCTGCAAGAAATTTCAGCCTATTCTCAAAGTATTGCTGCAAGACAGGGTAGAAAAACATAATAGAACTATATTGTTATAATATCAACAAGATTACCTAAAGTTTTAGCATTTAGCTGATATCGAAAGCAAAAATGATAATTTACCGTTGGATCCATTTCCTCATCTTCTGCACCTGTAGATTTCTGACTCTGGGCACCAATCTTTGCTGCAGCAGCCTGAAAATATGTGAATTAAGCACCCGATGCTTGACTGAAACAAAAATATGTGCAACATATTGTAGCTTAAGTAAGATGGATTTGACAAAGATACCAGCTTGGCAGCCTTCTCCTCCTCCTTACGGCGGCGCTCCTCCTCCCTCTGCTTAGTCTTAAGTTCCTTCTTGAGTGCACTGTCAACGAATGTCAAGAAACGAAATTAGACTGATGATGGAGATTGATTTCCAAAAAAGTGAAGAGGAAAGAAGAAAGGAGATACTTTTTGCTCTGTTTTTCAGCAGGTGCGGCGGAATCTATGGCTAAATCGGAGACAGCTTTGGCGGTTTCTTCGACGGCGCTGTCCATGTTCAGAGGCGGAAAGGAAAGAGAGTAGCGCGAGATGGTAAGGATGCCGACCACCGACTGCCGTTAGGGTTTTCTTAGTGAGTTGAGAATCAGAAATGAAAAAAAAAAAAGAAGAAGAAGAAATTTCACTCACCGAAACCTAAAGGATGGAATTCAAGTGAGAAAATAGGGTTGAACTAAGTTTGGCGGCTAGGGTTCTCAGGGGAGAAGGGGGAGAATGAAGAGGGAAAAGGGAGAGTTTTTTGGGCTGAAACCGATCTTCTGGATCTGAAACCCATTTCAACTTGCTCGAAATAAAAAATTACGAATTTTTTTACCAAAAAAAAAAATGGTGCTACAGGGAGGGAGAATCTTTTCTTACCGCTTTTCAGATAATTTTTTTATATTATTAAATGAGTAATATATTTAATATTATTAATTTTATATAAATTAAAAAAATTAATTATTTTAATAATATGTAAAATTACATAAAAATAAAAAAAATTATATAAAAATTATTTTCCAACAAAAAAAAATCAAAACTACGAGTTGATTTTGTTTTTTCGATATAGATCATTTGGTATTCGAAAATTCATTAGGTCATCAACTAATCCGAATTCGAGTTGGGTAGGACTCAACGACCGATAAAACTCTTCCTCACAAGCTTTAACAAAATTACATTCTCAGTACTTAAAACTAAAATTTTTAATTAAACTAAAAGGTTCCTATCAATTCATTCACCCTCTCTTGAGTCTACAAGCTGATTTTTAGTAATTGATGGATTATGAGTTTCCACCCTAGTTAGTTTTACCGGGGGATATTTGGTATAATGATTTCTTTTAAATGGCTTTATAATAATAATTAGTAATTTTTTTTGTTACTCAGACAACCATTAATTTGAAATTTAGTAAAATTTTTTACATAGTAATTTTTAATTTGTAATTAGCAGTTAAATTTCAATCTACTAACTATTAAAAAAATTACTTAAAATTTTTTAATTTTGTTAATAAATTTATTTATTTTAATTATTTAATTTTTTGCCATGATTTATAATTTACTAAAATTTCCTTTGACAACATTACTTACAATACTTTTCAAACAATTTAATAATTTACTTTAAAATACATGTATAAATTTTAAATACATATATTTCAAATATAGACATCAAATACAAATATGTATTTCCAAACACAACCTAATAAAATTGTCAAATCTTTTTTTGTACATTACATATTAAATTATTAATCAATTTAATTTTAAATAATAATGTGTCTAATTGAGTAATTTTACAATAAATAATTTTTTTGAGATATAATTACCAGATGCTAAAATATTTTTTATGACAATACAACATAATACTTCTAATAGTTACTGTAGTCACAAAATCTACAAAAATCAAATAATATATATTGATTTGCAAAATAAATTCAAATTGCAATGAATTTGAACAAAAATGAGAAACAATATCTGATTTGGAGTATTGCAGTGCATGCGCTCAAGTTTTAAAAAGCAACACATTCTAGAACAACATGATCTTCTGATTAATAGCTGAATTTAGAAGGGAAAGAGCAAGGGCTTATGCTTATTCTTATCCTTCAAGGGATTTAAGACTTGCACTTGAAACGTTTCCTCCTTGATATGGATTTGGAGCTTACCATTGGTAGAAGATTGGGGCTTGAAACTTCGAGAATTGTTGAGGGGGCTTAAAGCTTGTTATTCCTCTCCTCTTTTCTCTTTCCTCCTCCTTCTCTTTTTCCTCCTTCTTCCTTTTCTTCTCTTTTTCTTCCTTTTTCTTTTTTTCCTCATCAAATGATGGCCTATTTATAGGCAAAACTGCCGTTAAATCTCTTCATCCCTATAAGGCTGTTGGACCTGATGGTGTTCACCCTTTTTTCTATCAAAAATTCTGGCATTCTATAAAGTCTAAGCTTTGCCAAGAGATTATCCAGGCCTTTTCTTTGGGTGCTATCCCTTTGGGTTGGAATGACTGTCTTATTTCTCTTATTCCAAAGGGGAAAGCCCTAGAATCCATTACTCAGTTCCGGCCTATTGGTTTATGTAACACATCTTACAAAATTATTTCAAAAATCTTGGTGAATAGGCTGAAGCCCTTTCTTGACTCTCTGGTGTCTCCTTGCCAGGCTAGTTTTATTCCCAGTCGGCGGGGTGCTGATAATGTCATCATTCTCCAAGAGTTAGTCTACTCTTTTTCAAAGCGTACTGGTAAAGATGGTGACCTTATCATTAAACTTGACTTGGAGAAGGCATATGATCGCCTTGAATGGAGCTTTATTAAGGAAACATTGACTTTCTTCCAATTTCCCTGCAACATTATTGATTTGATTATGTCTGCTATCTGCAACTCCAATGTTTCTATTCTTTTAAATGGCGAGCGAACTAATTCGTTCCCTCCTGCTAGAGGAATATGCCAGTCAGATCCCCTCTCACCTTATATTTTCATACTTTGCATGGAATTTCTTGCTCTTACCATAACAAAAGCATCGTCTTTAGGATATTGGAAGGGGAGTAAAGCTGGAAGGCGTGGACCTTCCCTTTCTCATCTTTTCTTTGCTAATGATCTTCTATTTATTGGTAAGGCTACCAAAGACAATTGTATATTTCTGAAATCTGTGCTTGATTTCTTTTGTGACAGGCCAGGTCAAAGGATCAATCCCTCTAAATCTAATATCTTTTTCTCCAAAAACGTGACTGAGCCATTGAGAGAGGAGCTTTGCAATATTATGCGGTTTTCACATACTAACTGTCTTGGTAAATATCTTAGAATTCCTATCTCTACTAAGAGGCCTTATAAACAGGATTACACCTTTATTTTGGACAAAGTTTGTGCCAAGTTGGAGGGTTGGAAAACTAAATTCTTTTCCATAGCTGGCAAAACTACTCTTATTAATTCTGTTCTGGCTTCTATTCCAAACTTTTATATGCAATCTATTATGCTGCCCTCATCTATCTTATCCAATATTGATAGAATTGCAAGAGATTTTCTTTGGGGCTCCAATTCAGACCATCGCAAGCTTCATTTGGTGAAGTGGGAACAAGTTTCTCTTCCCAAGTGTTTAGATGGGCTCGGCATCAGGAGCGCCAAGGAAGCTAATACCACTGCCATGGTTAAGCTTAATTGGAGATTGTTCACTAAGGAAGATAAGCTATGGAATATGGTATTGAAGAGGAAGTATAATATTAGCTCTCGCCCTTCCACTCTCCCCTCAAATGGCTCCCCTGTCATCAACAGCATTTGAAAAGGGAACAATCTCTTTTTAAAGGGGATTAAATGGTCCCCTTTGGATGGTAATGATATCTCTTTCTGGAATGACCCTTGGGTCCTGAATCAGCCTCTTAGTTCTGTGTTACAGGGTCTTCTTTCTGAAGCGGATAACAACTTGCTTGTTGCAAATATCTTTCCTAATGGACTCTTTGATCCTTCTCTTATCTCATATCCTATCTCAGATTGCCTGCTAGATACAATCAAGGCCACCCCTATCTCTAAGACCATGGCTGGCCAGGATAGTTTTGCTTGGAATGGCTCTCCCAATGGGTCATTTTCTACAAATTCTGCATATTTTCTTGCCAAAGGATTGGATCCTAACCCCAAGGGTATGTGGAATTGGATTTGGAAGATTCATACACTGCCTAAAATTCAAAACTTCCTTTGGCTTCTCTGTCATGAACGCCTTAAAACTCTTGACTTTCTCTTCAAACTGAACATTGTTGATTCTTATACATGCCCCTTATGCTCTATGGCTTTGGAATCCTGTGTTCATCTTTGTAGAGAATGTCCCATTTTTTTTGGAGTGTGGAACTTCTTCTTTCCCCTTGGGACTGCTAACTCTGCGGCCTCTTTCTTTGATTAGATTAAAGATAATTGTTCCAAAACTGATCGTTGCCCCAACATGCCTGCCCCGTGGGGTACTGTGTTTACCTTCATCCTTTGGAACATTTGGCTGCAGAGGAGCAAGAAGCTTTATTCACCAAATTCTTTCCAGCCAACTTCTATCATCCATACCATTAGAGAACGAATTTATGAGTTCTGCGCCATTTACCCTCTCCCTAAGTCTCTACCTAAACAGGTAGAGCCTAGGTTGGTTGGTTGGGATAAACCTCATGTTGGTTCCTTTAAACTTAACACAGATGGTTCCGCTCTTGGCAATCCTGAACCTGCTTCAGCAGGTGGCATAATTAGAGACCATAATGGTACCTGGGTTTGTGGGTTTTCTAGAAAGATTGGAACTACTTCTGCTTTGGCTGCAGAACTATGGGGTGTGCGTGATGGTATTCTTATGGCTTATCATTATAATATCCAAAGTTTAATTGTGGAGATGGACTCTCTTACTGTTGTTAATTAGCTTATTGCGAAGGCTTCTGTTCATCACCCACTTTTCTCCCTTATTGTGGATTGCAGGGAGGTTATGTCTAAAATTCCTCGTATTTCTGTTCGGCATATTTTTCGAGAGGCCAATTAATGTGCAGACCGTCTTGCTGCTATAGGACATTCACTGTTGGAGAATTTTGTTGTTTTCGATTATTGCCCCTCTGGTCTTGTTTTGTTTTACAATGCTGACCTCATGGGAATCTGGTTTCCCAAATCTTAATGGGCCGTGTTTTTTTTCTCTTCTCCTCCCTTTTCTTCATCAAATGATGGCCTAAAAAAAAAAAAAAGAGCCTTACCAAATGACCTCAAATACCCTCCATTTTAAGAATAATTTGGTCAATTTAATATATTTATTTTTTAAATTTAAAGAGAAAATATCTTTTTAAAGATTTATTATCTCACCTTTCAAGATTTTACTAGGGTAACCTTGTTTTAACTTTAAGAAAATTTTTAATGTCTAAAAATGCCCTCTCATAATTAACTTTCTTGCATTACTTTATACAAAAAAAGTAAATTAATTATGATATACACCACTTGAAAGAGCGAGTGAAATTTTGAAGAAACAATCACCTCGCTCCATAGCTTTTTTTTTTTTGGGCGTTTCTTTTTTTAAGCCCTCTTTTTTAGGAAGAAGTTCTTCTATTGACAATGACACAATTAGTCATCGATTGGTCCTTTGTTTTTTTTTTTTTTTGCCCCCCTTTTTTAAGGGACTAATCCATTTAGAGCCCTTTTTTTTCTTTAAGCCCGTTTATGGATTTTTTCATCAATGGTTAAAACCTCATTTTGGTTTCTGAACTATTGTATGGATTCTCGATTTGGTCATTAAACTAAAAAAATCCCTGATTTGGTCATTATTGTTTACCATTTTAACCCCAATTTGGTCTTTCCGTTAAATATCTGCCTATGTGTCCCGTTACTTGACGGGAAAAGGATGACATGTTAAAGCATTTTGACACTTAGGATGTACAGCGTGGCAAAAGAATGAGATTGCAAGAAAATACCTTAAAAAATTTCTTTTTCCATTTTTTTTACTTTCTTTGTTTTTCTTTTTTCCCTGTCTTTTTCCTCTCCCTTTCCTTTCACCTTCTGCAAACCCTAACATCTCCTAATATTAAATCCAAGAATAACACAACAAATCAACATATCAAAATCAATAGATCTTTCCATCCAACTACAGCTAGGTTGGAAACAAAACCCAACGCTTGCTGGGTTTGATCACTGGTTGGGTTCGAAATCGAATCCAGCATCTGCAAGAATCTGAGGATAACACAACAGATAACAAATCCATAAATAGATCGAACTCAACAGATCCATCGACCCAACGGTTGTTGAGTTTGAAACAGAATCCAACAGACAACAGATCGATAAACAAATGGAACTCAACAGATCCATTGACCCAACGGTTGTTGGTTTTTGAAACGGAACCCCGTGCTTGTTGGATTCGAAATCGAACCCAGCTCGAACATAGTGCCTGCTGGGTTCGATTTCGAACCCAGCACCTGCAAGAACCCAGCGACTGCTAGGTTCGATGCTAGGTTCGATTGCTTGCTGGGTTCGAAATCGAACCCAGCACCTATGCCTTCTTCATCTTCATCCACCTGCAAAAACCCAACAGCTGCCTTGCCTTCTTCATCTTCATCAATCAATTTCTCATATCATCAAACAACAAAACCCAAACAAAGAAAACATAATTTTTTTTTTTTTTACCCCTGGGTTCGATGGAACCCAAGGCTAGGTCCCAAGAAACCCAGCGCTTGGGTTTCATCGAACCCAGGCATGCTAGGTTCTACCAAACCTAGGCATGCTGGGCATCGAACCCAAGCACTAGGTTCGAAGGGGAAAGAGAAAGGGAAGGGGAAGGGGAAAGAGAAGGGGAAAGAGAAAAGGAAAGA